AAGTCAATTTGTTATGACCATATTTTCCTGTAACCCTGTAGAAATGCTTGATTTGTGCTTTAATTCCACTGTGTTTTCAAGCCTGAATTTGTTAGGTTTTGTCAAATGGAAGCACATTTGAGTATGTTTGTATTTATATCAACTGGTTGATACTGAGTTTAGACATTATCCACATGAAATTGTTGACATTCAAGTTAAACACAAACCTCTAGCTAGTTGTCTATATTCTGTATCTGTGGGGATACACAAGATAGGTTTGCTAGGTGTCATCGGTTTAGGAATTGCCGTCTGCAATGCTGGGACAGTGGGATCCTCAAAATGCCCAGTCTCCTCAAAGCCTTCATCCTCCTCCTCGATGGTATCCTCTTCGTGCTGCGTATCCTCTTCTAGAGACAAGGCTGTTTCCTTGTACTTAATGGTGGTACCTGTTGACTGCAATTTACAATACTCCAAGTCAATGAGCTCACCTGAAATAACACAAGTATGTATTTTCTACTTAAGCTATTGATAGTTCAATCATGCTCATGTGGTAACTATCATCTTATTGACATTTGTGTAATAAAAATATTGTACATGTAGTTTATATTTTTAGACACCGTCATTGTAAATATAATGTGAAACATATTAACTGCTGTATGTACCTGTGTGTTTCCCAGGGACTTTAAAATCTGGAGAAATCTTTTTGTGCAGCACATCTTGTGACAACTGGTTCACAGGATGTCGCAAAACTCCATCGTATGAGAGAGGTCCTTGACATTCTCGGTCTGTTGTTGTCTCTCCCTCTCTATCCTGGTTCCAACGATGGATGCCATCCAAAAGGTACACCTGGAAGTTGACATCACTGGCTAGGGTACCTGTAAGATAAATTTGGAATAGGTTCAGTTATCCTGTAAGTAGAAAGTTAAAATATTTTCAATGATAAAATTATGCATTGGTTAAACTGACAGTCTCAGCAATACGATATCATTTATGTATAAAAATGAAAATATGTAGGGCCTATACATAAATGTTTGAATCCTCTGCTTTACTTGCTAATTGTCCTTCAGGTAATATCACAGACTAAATGTTTCTTCTCTATTTGCTATCAGCTGACATGAACAATAGCTGATAATAGTGATAATAGCTGATGATTGTAATAGTACAATTACAAGCAAATTATTATTCATAATAATGTAACTTGAAAACTAGAGAATGAAACTTATCACAGCATGAATGGATTGTTGTCAGTGAACACCAAGGCTCCATAATGTGCGACGTATTTGGAATATCAAATTTATGTACATTAAAAAAAAGTCTTTGCAATTTGAATATATCTGTGCCAAAAAAGTGTATGTTGTTACTTTTACCTGGAACAAATCTGTTCGTGTGGAGATGAAAACTTTCCAATGAGGTTGAACCTCTGGCACAGCAATACTTTGGTAGCTCCACACCACCTTTCCTAACAGTGCAAACCTTAGTGTAAAGTTGGACACCATCAGGATCCTGAAGGCAAGGAACATGTTGACTCTGTTTAGCCCAAATCTCCTGCATCTTTATAGTATTCAATAGTGGCAATCCAGGGATGTCCAGTCCCTTGTCTCCCTCCATGGAGTGGATTAGCTCACTAATCAGAGTCGTTGTTTCCTTTGTGCCTCTGGTTATCCTTCGGCAGTGTGAAGCCAACTCTTGAGACTTAATGTGGCGCACAACATCAGCATCTGATGGATCAGGAATATGATGCTGAATCATCTCAGCCCTCTTTGCCCTCTTCAGCAACGAAACGTCTTTCTCCCCCCATTCGAAGATGCATTGGCTGAGACGACCCATGAATGTGCCATACAATGGATGGGCATCAGTTGTGCAGCCAATAGACAGTCTTCGCATAAAATGCCAGATGTCCAACCTAT